TTGTAACTAATATTTAGATCTTTTTTTGTTATGTATACGTTTGAAAATAACAACATATTTTAAATAGTAATATTTGTAGGTATCAATTTTCATCAGAAGCATAAGCAAGTAATTATATTAAAGTAATAACAAAAATGAACTGTTTATTTAAAAAAAAATATTTAGGTATATTACATTAWTAATTCCAAGTTTCTTTTTTTAACTTTTGAAAATTGCTTAATGATATTATCTATTGAGACCATATTCTTCAATGAAGATATTTTATAATAATTATTGAATATTAATAGGTGTATCACAATCGCAATGCTGTCTTCAAAAAATAAATAGCCTAGTCCTAAGGGCGGYGGGCCCGTACTCCATAGCCTCATCCTCTTAATCCGCCACCGTAAAAGTCATGGACTATATGAAAATATAGCTTGTGTATGATTTATGTATAAACTATAGTAGGTATACCGTATACGTATAAATATTAGTACCTATATTATACTAAATATCTGTGCTTTCAAGTTTCAACAATCCATATGATAATCAAAATATGAATTTATGATAAGAAATGCATGTTTATTATTCTGTTATATAAATCTSTCTTATCTAACATGAATATTTAATTATATGTAAAAAGTAATTCCTTTTATTTGTTAAATCAAAATCGTAACTAATGAATAACAAAATAAATAATAAATTGAAGTTAAATTTTTAGTTTAACCATGGGTTGGAATATTTACAAACTATTGTGTTGCTGTGGGAGTTCTAATGAATCAACTAGAGTAGATTTGGTAAACTGGTTTTAATATTTATTTTGACTTCTCAACATAATACATAGATATTTGATTAGGCAATTGTCCGAGAACAACAAGCTGCAGCTGCTGAAAAACGTTTAAGAGAACAGGAAAGCCGAGGTATTAAGAATCCAGATCGTGTCAAACGCATGCAACGAGAACAACAAAAACGTGATGAAGAAGCTAATAGAAGTGCTAATATGGGGACGAGTGCTGGATTAAAGGTATTAAATAATTTTTCTATTGTACCAAAATAATCAAACATTACAAAATATTATAAAATAATAGTATCCAGTTCCAATATTATAATTGATTTACTTGAATAGTGTGTTATCTCTCTGATTAATATAAATATAAATTATAAATTATAATCAGGATCAGATCCAAGATYTATTTGAAAGAGTTATTTATATGAACAAATTTATAAATATTGTTAGGTAACAAAGAGAGTATCCTAAGGAATAGTTTTTTTATAGAATTTTTTTGAAATCCTATTTGCACTTAATTTTATTAGTCTTAATACA